TGTTTTGTTTTGTATTTACTCGATTGCATTGTAGAAGAATCATCAAAGAATTAATCTAAAATCATCTTCATCAATGTTCTTCATCTTCTATTAATTATCTTCTCATCTCGAATCTATATCTTTCTAATTTCCCATCTCATGTTCTGTTATTCAATAGATCCATAATCGGATTCTATCAATTGGTGCTTTCATTGAGAGTTTAAAATAGGTTTTTCAAAACTCGAGGCATGTCAAAAATCCTCGGAGAGCCTAACTGCCTAAGGAAGGCGACGCTGGAGTATGTTGAGAGATAAAACGACGTCCTCAGGAAAGAATAGATAGATCTTATTTGGAGAGACTATCGACCCCAACCGCGGGTTGTCGAAGTACCAGAGCTTCCACGAATACAAGAGACCATAACAGAAAATCAAATCTCAACAAAAATTCTGAAACCATCTCTAGGAAATTACATCGAACACGTGGTGTGCGATTCTTCATATGAGGCTTCTTCTTAATCCGAGTCCTTCAAGGCTAAAAACGTGAGATGTCCACAGATACATTAGATTCAATGTTAACACAGATACTACAAGGTTTGGAAGAAGAAATAGAAACAAAGGTCTTAGAAAAAATATTTCAAGCTTTCTACGAATTCTGCGAAGAAGTTTTTGAACGTGAACCACATGAGAATGAAGAGATATTACTACTGTGAAAAGAAAGCAACACATAGTGAACTTTCACAAGCTTGTTAGAAATATGGTATGTTCCTTAATTCTCCAAGTTTCAGAGTTCGTAAAGATGATAGACATTATCGACTAGGTAAAAGATCGATTATTGATGAAGGCGTGAAGCGTGAGACTGATCTCTTTAGTTATGGTTTTCAATCGCCTAATCCTATAAACTAACTTAGTATTGATAAACTGATGATGGTGGAAGTTGAGAGAGATTCGATGAATGTGAACGAATTTGCTAAGGAATCTAAGACTCCTATAGAAGTGGAACAAGATGTGTTAGATGTTGAACATGACATGTCGAGATTCGAAAACGTAATGGTGATGTCAGGAGAGTAGTAGAGAATGGGTTCCAAGGAATAACTCACGATGTTGATAGGTACAAATGGGTTTCTCCACAATTGGGATGTTATGTGTTTTCACGAAAGTCAGATATTGAGAAATTAGGTAAACTATTATTTGGAATTCGCTCTTGATAGTGAGTTATATGTGTGGGATCCAGGCAAAGTTAAGATCTTCATGGACCCTAGAAAAATTAGTAAAATCAAAGGAGATGGTCAAGTATCACTCTACATATTCAAGATGTTCCTATAGCTGAGGATTACATTATGTTGAATTCAGAAGTTGGTGATGTTTGTCAAATCTCGATCGGCTTTCATACAAATGAGAAACAAACCAGTAGTTTATCTCATATTGCTTTGATTGGTTGTGTTTGGAATCCTGGCGGGACACAGTATGATAAAAGTTATGAACGTGCTCGCTAAGTGTTACAACAATAGTAAAGTTCTTAAGCAAACATAAATGAACCGCAAAATCAGTCTTCAAGGACTTAAACAAGAGCTGTTTGTGGTCGTTGGTCAATGCTTAGGGGTGCAAGAGTTATCTAATATTCATGGAATGGTTGGTAATATTATGCTTCTAACGTTTGGGGTTCATGCTAGCAACAAACGACATATTGTTCTGCGAGGATTACTGTGTGTTAAAGCTCACATAGATTGATTAAAGAGAGTTTATAGTGGTGATATAATTCCAAAGTTAGCACAAGGGTTTAATGGGACATATATGATCATGAGTAACTTAACATTGTGCTCTTGTGTTAGTATGAAAATTTGGATACATGGGTTACAATTATGGTCTTGGAAATACAAGATTCAGAAGTTTCTGCTCTACTATCATAGTATCAAAATGCAAGGGTTGATTTGTCAACATGAACTTAGTGTTGAAATGGATTTACAAAAAAATATTTTCTTTGGTTTCGGAGTTTCAAGTGGTTATAACATCTGATGTTTTGAGCTTCTTAGTAGACTTTTGTGCTCAAACCAAAAGGTTGAAAATAGCTTGTAGGTTAATGAGATTGATCTCATAAGAAGTAAGGCGTAGGATCCAACTTTTGGTTAAATATGCTTCTGGTGGGATAGAGAATTCGTGATCTATACTGTTATTCTAGGTTTTTGATGGAATAAAGTGGAAGACATGAGATATAAGGGTAGATGTTGATTTGCAAGAGATGATGTGGCTCACCGTGTTATTAAACATATATGGAAAACGACATTTAGATCTTGGTCAAGCTAACTTTGTTTGAGAGCATGTTGGTTTAGAGGTTAAACATGTTCACTGGGATTTGCTAGAGAATGTTTACAAACGTGACAAAGTGTTGGAGTCATCGCAAAGACTGCAAAAGATGGATTTACAATGGGTAATGCTATCGGACTTGCAAGAAATAAATCATGGTTATGAAAAATGTATTAAGTGGTTGAAGTTACATTTCAATTTGTGTGTGGATTGGTTGAGGTGGATAGAGTGGTTAGTTGTTGAATTGCATGAGAAATAGAGTCACAATAGAATTCTATGACAGATGCTGAATGTTAGGAATGGAAAATGGGTTAAGCTTACAAGATGGGAATGTGTTTTAGACATAATGGTAATTTGTCTTGAAATTGGAGTTTGACGAATTTTTATGGTGGTTCTCTTTTGAAGTTTTTAAAAGGAAAAAAAGCAAAAATTGCTCTTTCAAAGGAGCTAATGGGGAGGGGTTCACGTCCACACTGGAGCACTTTGAGAATCCTCTAGTTTCAGTCTTCACTTATGTTATGCTATATTCTCCAAGACCATCAGAATTGTTGTCCGAAGCATATGAAGAACTCCAAGGAATTGATCCATTTTCGCTGTCCTTTGAGGTGACCATGTAGATTATAGCGGTTTGTAGCACATAGAAGCTACAATTATATAGAAAACTACAAAGAGCTCTCCAGCTAAGTAGTCTATAGTGGGCAATGAATTATGATACTTTGTGGATTGATTCAGGCGAGTCTATAGCGCTTTGTAATCTTAACTTTGTGGTCGACAATGAGTTTTCCGTCGGAGCGGGAAGGATACACAATCGAGTTTTTCAGAGTTAATTTCGGAGGATCTAACCGCATATACCTTTCAGAGAAGGGATTGATGGCGACAAGGTATTGAGGGCGAGCCCCACAGGCCATGAAGGAAATTAAATGAATAAATAGAGAGTGATCGCCTTTGATATTTTAGAGAGGCGATGTTCTGAATAAACCTAAGCCCTGGCGTTGGGAGAGTTGAAACGTTTGAAACCGATGAGAGAAGAAGTTTTTGGCAATTTTGTATTTTTTTTTCGGAAATCTGTCGACTATAAAAGATGCCACGTGTCTCTCTATGGAGAGTGTTGGTCATCTTTTATAGTATAGAAGATTGCTAGACGATTGAAGTAAAACTAACATTATGGTGATGGTTATATTATATTTATCCATACATTAAAAGATCCAAAGACATTAATTACGAATGAAAATCTACTTATCCATACATCAAATGGATGCAACTCTTTTATCGAATGGACAATTCGAGCAAATCAATGTTCAAGCCAATGAAACCTCACACAATCTTAGGTTTAACCTCCAGACCTAGTGTAATTGACCAAATATACTTCTTTATTCAATGTGTCATGAACTAATTTGTACATGTGACACATGATGATTTGAAATTTTGCATGTTTTAAATTGCAAAGCATATACAGTAGTTAATTTAAAAATTAATCTCTTTAGATACTTGCATCATTCTTTAAATTACGAGGCATGTACGATTAATGGCGCATTATTTTATTTCTTTTCAATTGCAATCTTTTTTTTTACTGTCAATTTTTGCAAGGGTCTTTTTGGTATATAACCAAAAAAAAAATTAAAAAGTTAAGAAAAATGAGGTATGTGGCAAAATGTAGACGATTGGATTTGGGATTTTTGGTTACTTTTTAAATTATATGTTTTTTGTTATATTTGTAGCAAATTATCCCTTTTTGCAATCCTTTTAGTCATTATTCAGTCGATAATGTTTATATAATATATGGTTTCCATGTACGTAGACGAAACCTATAGTAAACTAAAGACCTATCCATTTTTTTTAATCAATGGATATAAAGCTCTTTAATTCACAAGCTGAGATATGCTAAACGGAGAAGTATTAACACCGTCAAACGTAGAGTTAGCGATAACTGCATTAATCACATCCGTCGTGTGCACGTTATCCCAGAATATGTATTTGGTTCGGTCAGGACAAATCCGTCCGTTCAACAAACAAAGTTCTTTACCCGGTTCAACCGTACAACAACTCCTATCAGCAACCGTAATCCCTACAAAATTCAAAAAGATGTTATATATATTATTAGAGCATGATCAATGGTAGGTGTTCGTGTAAGGGTGCTAAATATTTTTTTATTATTTATATTGTGTAAAATTATAACACCATTTTTTTAGGTTCTATAAATGCTAAAATTAGAACTCCATTTTTTAGGTTCTCAGATTATTTAATTGTTTTTAACCCATTAGCAACCCATTAAAAAATCCACTAACATCTACATTGATCATGCTCTTAGTCTACAAATGCTTATACATATGTCCATTAATTCTAGGTCAAATAAAATGTTAGTTCATTGAGCACTAAGAACTTCTGATAGAATCAGGAAAAGAGGTTAAAAATATTGAGAAAATGAAATTACGTATCAAGAGGGGCGAAATCTCCAGCATCTCCAAAAAAGAGATCAACGTAAGTGAATTTAACACTAGAAAGTTGGTTGTTTAAATCCGCGATTAGGGTTTTGAGGTTATTGTTGAAGATCTCCACGGCTTGATTCACTTCTTACGCGCAGCCAACACCACCACCGAGGCTAGCCACAACCCGTGGTGTACACCCAATCTTACCAATCCCGTACAATTCCTACATATATCCAATTATCCTAGCAAATTTATCTCTTCTTTTTTTTTGCCAAAAAGAAACAACAATAGTAACTCATTCACCAGGTTTTTTAATGGCTCTAAAACATAAAACCATACCAAATAGAAGTGATTAGATAATTCTATGTTAAGAGGTGAATACGGATCCATGGGTTAGACCAACATATGAACTCCTCCCCAAGTGCGTCCAACAAGGCAACAAATTCTAATGGTTGCACCATAAAAAAAACAAATTATCAAATCTAACAACTTTACATATACTTACCGTCAAATAAAGACGGTAGCGTCGAATGAGAGATTGAGCATATTGGTTAGGAGTAAATAGACGATTAGTTCGAGAACGAGGTTGCAAGAAGTAATTTGCTCTCTCAAACTGATTCTTTCACCCCATATATGTATATCAATTTAATTTGTTTATTTTTCGATGAGATCAGTTATGAGATTTATATTATTATTAAAGTTTTTACCATGCTTTCCCTGGTTTCTTCTCGGATACCGCGGCATCGGAAGCATAATTGAGTCCGATGTTAGCTTGTGTTTGTGATGCTCCGGCGAACGGTGGAATGAAATCACTGAAACCCACTCGTTGAGTTAAAAAAAGATATTCTAACTTTTTTTTTATATAATACTTACAGAAATTGATTTGATTAGAATGCGAAACAAATGATCCAATCATACTTTTACACATGATAATTTTAAGTTTTACATTTGTTAACTTAAAACAGATCCCTGTTTCAACAACAAAGAGCAATGGATTTTAAGTTTTACACTTTTTTTTTAATCTATTGAGGATCTAATAAATTTGATAATTTTCAAATATTTTTTTTTTAAATGAAAATGTTAAATTTTGTAATATACTGTTTTAATTTAATGAGAAGGAACCACATATTGACTTTAAAAACTCATAAATTATTTTTATACCATATATTATTTAAATGAAAATTATCAAAAACACTACATTTTTTTTCCTACAATTACTTACAAAAACTTTAAAAATCCAGACTATCACAAATTTAAGTTTTAGATTAGGATACTAAATATTGTTAATATCAAAGAGAACCGAGTTTCTTTTCTCTCAGACACGCTTTTCGAGGAAGATTTTCTGAGTAAAATTTTCAAACCAAAGTAGATCTCACCTACTTTTACTTTCTTTTTAAGCAATTTTCCCACATTTCAACGAGAAAACACTACCTTTACACCGGATTTTCTGTCGGAGTTTATCAAACAAGCTTCTTCTAGCCTCTCAACGTACGCTCCGACCAACATGGCTCCATGCTCTCCTTCTAGAGCTGACCTAACGCCATGAATACAGTTGTGAGTGAACAGAGAGCTTACTGCGGATTGCAGAAATAAGCTTTGGCTTTCTTTACCTCGCCGCTGAGGATTTTTTACTGACGGTCGAGTCTTGTTCTAGCTGCAAGTCTTCAAAAACTTCTTACTCCTTCCCCTGTACTAGGGTATTTGAATCTTTATTTTCTACAATGTCAAACCAACGTTTCTCGAGAGCAGAGAAGGAAAAGTGGATAGCTTCTGAGAACACCTCAACTCGTCGGTCTCCTCTCAGAATCCCGTGACAACCAAACCCTTC